AAATTGATGTTTATCTGTGTTTTTTAAATATTTACTTTTAAATTAAGAAATTCAGTAACATATAGTTCTAAAATTTGAATTATAATCTATAGTTTGATACCAAACTTACTGACATAAGTTCATGAAATAGTACTTCAATAAAAAATTTGAATGCAAGTCAACAAACAAGATGACATGGCCTTTCACCTGTGACCTGTCTTGAAAGGGTTAAGACAGTAAACTTCTATGCAAAAATATCACAATAAACCTTGTAAAAAAAAAAAAGGAAGCATATTATACTAGAATGACATGTTGCAAGAATCCATATTTTGCCTGACAAAGATCTAACTCAGCAAACTTATCTAAAATTCATTACTTTGAGTTTTACTGATTATACATCTATAATTGATTACACTTGAGATGTAGTTCATCTGTTAGCGATCTGACAAGGGAGTGAGAGTATAGTCCAGTATTAAGAACACACATCAGTGTAAGTAATCAAAGTTAGTCCCTGCAGACTTGATGTATTAGTAAAAGCTACTAAGTATAAATCTACTTCATGTACAGTGACTATGTTTGGAGATGCCATCATTAAGTGAGAATAAACTTTTAGACATTCATATTGACTTTCATACATCTGAAAACTATGACAGCTAATACATCAATCTTTCATTTGGATTGGAGAAGATCAGGTTTTGAAATTTGATTACAACCATGAAGAAATCCAAGTAAAAAGTAGAAATAAAAACATAAATTTACATGGAAGTTTCCTACAAAACATTCAGCTTAATAGATGAAAAAAAATTCAATTCAATGAAGCACACCAGAATTACCATGGAAGTGATATGACTAAAAATAGTTTATTTACTTCAGAGAAAAACTATTACAGCACAAGGGCATAACAAAACACAGAAGGATATTAATACTCATAAGAGAAATAAGACCAAATAAGATTTGATATGTTAGATATGGATTCAGCTGTGGGAATTACATGTGCAAACTGTTCTAGGATTCTACTTACAGAGAATATACATTAATTAATTCAGACTGTCAGGTCAATGAGAGTTTACAGATATTGACGAGAAGGAAGCAGAAAATCAGACAAAATAGAAAGCCTATATTTTGGGAAAATAGTCAGAAGAACAGCTAATAGATACAACAGTGACAAACTATCATATTTGAAAACTGCTTATAAGACATTTCTGTTTATATGCTCACAACCAAATTAATAACTAAGGGAGTAAATTTTGTTTCAATGCAAAACATATTCATTTTAAACCTCTTTAACTCATTTCTATCCATTTAAAAGCATTCTAGATCAAATCTTACCTTATTTGAATGAACAATTCTATAAATATCCAGAGCATATACCTTTATGGCTTCTTATGTGCCACCCAACTGATGAATATACAGCTAGGTAAGATCATTAGATTAAGGGTTTAATTATGTAATATGTTCTACTAGAAGAGTTGCTAAAACTGACAACAGTGAGAAGTTACAGTATGATGTATATTAAAGATCCTTATTTTGTACAACAACTGTTTCAAAATTCTAGAGAAGGTTAAATGGAACTTTCAGTGATTAGTGGTTTAAGAGAATATAACAGTATTATACATTTTAAATAGTGATTATTCATCTTTAAATCTGGTGAGGTGATACTTATAGCTTTAAACACATAACAGATCTCTCCACTTTTGAAAGTTAGGGTTCTGTATGGAAAACAACAGTTTTCAGTCATGGTGCAAAATAAAATTCCCAAACTATTTGCATTTTTCCCTTACCAACATTTGGCAAAATAATTATTTTTAAAAGCTTTGCATTATCTTTTATAGATATACTATAGTCTTGAAATATAACACAGTGAAAATTAAAATATTTTAAGGATGCATATTTGTAACAGGTGTACATAATTGTCAAACACCATAAGTAATATAATATAAAATCAAAGACTGCCACAGCCAAAACAGTAACAAAAAATAAAAACACCCACTTTGTAATATTCCCCACACTTCTTCCTGATTACTGGTGAAATATGAAACTTCTATTACAATATGTAAAACTCTATGACATGGAAAATATTTTTTAAATCTGATGCTTATTTCCCTCTACCAGCTGCTGAAAAATCAAACCCCAGTTTTAAGCACTGTAAGTCCAAAAATGTATTGCTGATCCACTGGTGAAAAATTTAAGGTATTAAACAAAATCAGCATGACCATCTATACAAATAATCATCAAATATTTTATATTTTACTAAAAGTTGCACATAAAAAGTAGGTTTTTCCTTAGTACTAAGGCCAACATCAAAACAAATTAAATAAGCTATTAATATTAACAAAGTAACGACCTATGTCTCTAGCATGTGTATTTACTGGTTTAATATTTTGCTATTACAGCTTTGTCACAACTTTCAATAATCTTAGTGAAATTATAGGTTATTGATAGCTCCTGACAAAGCTGTAATTGTAATATAATGAGCCATTAAAGATACATTCTGGAGATATAGGTCATTATTTTATTTACATTAATAGAAATGTCTAATAATTATTTCAGTTTGCATTAATCAAAGTTAAGAAAAATAAGCTGTTACTTTACTGCTAACGATGTCATGGGAAATGATGAGTTGAACTTTTGGTTACAAAATTTTCAATTTCTTTTTACTAGCAAAAGAAAAAAGTCAAAAGACCTAATAATACACACTAACTTGAGACAATAAACTACTAGGTGGAATTTAATAAAATATCTAAACTAGTATTATAGCACACTCACTTTGTTCGACCATCTTTAGCAGCAACATGAAGAGGGGTTTCTTCATCTTCATTTTTATTACTAATATCGCTCCCAAACTCCACTAGTAACTGAAATTTTAAATAACAAAAAAAGAAAATTGACTAATAATTACATTTCAAGTGGTTTTCTGTAATTTTAATTTGAAGAAAACATTTCTATATGAATAAGCAAAAAGCTGATTCATAATAAAATAATAAATTTTGTGCAGACTTTAAGTTATTCCAACAATGTTGAGTTGTAATCCAGGAAATATATAAAGACAGACTTAAAGAAAAGACAGTGTAAATTAACAGTACAATGGAAACTCCCAAAACAGACTCTTCTATAAAATTATTACTAAAAATCTTTAATTATTTTAATCTTTAATTATTTTACTCTTCTTAAAACCAGCCTTTCTGAATTCTGAATGCAGAACCTTATCGGAAATGTTAATTTCCAGTAACTTCTCCAAACCAATCCCTCTGAAAAATGGCCAAAAGCAATGGATCCTTAGGTAGCTTACTTACAGAAGTTCCACCATAAAATAATTCTATTTACACAAACAACTACTCGAAAAAAATAGTTTTCAACCATCTTGGCTAGTTTTTGACTTGCATCATAAACTAAGATATGAATTAATGTATTAAAGTATGTCTGCCAACATTATTCTAAAGATAAAAAGAAGACAAAAATTACTTATTGTCCGAACACCATACAGCTAGAAGGTATATTCAATTGTTTTAATTTCAATGGACACTAAAAAACTGAATCTGTATTTACAGAGTATAGGCGTATGTTACAGAAGTTTATTTAGAATATAGATACATGGTACAGAAAAATCTAGAAAGAAAGACGTTGTAATTAAGTTGAGATAGAGAGTAAAGGAATAAATAGTATAAAAGACATGGTTAGCACACAGTGAACAGTTGCAATTTGATTAAAAACATAACTTCCCTTGTTGTAGACGTTGTCTTGATCCTCTCACTTATGTGGTTAAGATGTAAGTGGATCAGATCTAAACATCACTTAATCATCAGTTCACCACAAAGATTGGCCATATTAAAAGTAGCTTAATTAAGTTGCAATTAAGTAGAGATAGAGAGTAAAGGAATAAATAGTATAAAAGACATGGTTAGCACACAATGAACAGTTGCAATTTGATTAAACACATAACTTCCCTTGTAGTAGACGTTGTCTTGATCCTCTCAATTATGTGGTTAAGATGTAAGTGGATCAGATCTAAACATCACTTAATCATCAGTTCACCACAAAGACTGGCCTTATTAGAAGTAGCTTAACCCTTTCGAGACTGGTCACGGGTGAAAGGCCATGTCAATTCATTTGTTGACTCAGATTCAAAATTTTATTGAACTGCTATTTCATGAATTTATGTCAATATGTTTAGTATCAAACTGTAGATTGTAATTCAAATTTTAGTACTATATATTACTCAATTTCTTAATTTAAAAACAAACATTAAAAAACACATAAAAATCGATTTTGTGTGTCACGTGTTATGTTGAATGCAGCACTGGTTCAAATTAGATGTTTGTGAAGTCAAAATACTAAGTCTATAGTTTCGAACGATTTTAGAAACTCATCTTACAGATATTGACAAGCTAGAATATAAAATAAGATCTTCTTATCTCTTCAGTTTGCTGAAATATTGCTCATGTAATAAATCAAACACAGTGGAACCCTTCCACCTATTTCCATTTTTGGAAACGCTCCCTTATATACACTTACTTCTATATATGACATGAATAACCAATCAGAAGCTCAGAATTTCCTCCTAGTGGCTTTCCCAGCCATTTTAATGGACTTGGTGCCATTTCTTTCTTTTGAACCAGTATTTCAATGAGGTAGGGTGTGTCTTTAGTCTGCTC